CTAGTGATGTGGATCTCAGTTAGTGTACCCGTCAGTTTTCCTGCCTACCCTTAGGTAGTATTGACGCACAGACACCGAGTCTTTGCAGATGACGGCCACAAAATACAATGAAGAAGAATATTGTAAGGTGCCTTAAAATTTGGAGATTTATTTATTTTTTTAATTTTTTTTTAATTTGGAGATTTAAACAGAGAATCTTTATAATAGATACTCATTAGATCAAGAAGAGCCAAAAATGGAGCTGAGTGCTCTGAGTAGGATTTTGGAAGCTACACGAACTATTGGAAGTAATGAAGTTCCAGGACTTAGCCACTCTAGAGGACTCAGCAACTGGGAGCAGCTACTGTGGCACTAAAATTGCCTGATGTTCCCTTATGGTTACCTTCTTCTTCTTTTTTTAAAAATATTTTATTTATCTATTCATGAGAGATACAGAGACAGAGGCAGAGACACAGGCAGAGGGAGAAGCAGGCTCCATGCGGGGAGCCCGATGCGGGACTCGATCCTGGGACCCTGGGGTCGCGACCTGAGCCAAAGGCAAACGCTCCACCGCTGAGCCCCCCCAGGCGTCCCTCATGATTACCTCCTTGAATTATGTGTTTTTAAAAAGTCCACAAAATGTTTGAGAATTAAAAAAACACATTTACAGGAGAAGCAACTGTGGTTGTTTGTTGTTTTTTTGACTTTACCTGATTTCCCTTCCTAGAACTAAGCCGCATGATTAGACTCCATCGTGAGATCAGAAATAATCTAAAATAATGAACAACAGGATATTACTGATTTAGGATTCATTTAATGTGAACTCTGTTTTAATCAATTTCCAAGTTCTTTAAAATTTTAACCTTAAAAGAATTCCCAGGAAAATTTAATTTTAAATATACTCATAAGGGTAAAATGAAATTCAGAAGTAGCCATTTTATGGGCCTCGGTATTACACCACATATAGTTTCTTTAGTCATAACAATGTTATTTATTTATTTAAGAAGAGCCTGGGCAGCGGGTTGCAAAGCAGGAAACTGTCGTTCATTAAGAAGCCGCTCTCGACTTCCCCTGAACCAGTGGTGTGTGAATATCCACGGATTTACCTCGGTGGCCGGCCTTCAAACCTGGGTCTGTACTGTATTCACTTAAAGAGATGATCGTTGGCCCCAGACTTTTTTAAAAAAGACTTCAGCCTGGGATGCCCAGGTGGCTCCACGGTTGAGCATCTGCCTTTGGCTCAGGTCGTGACCCCGGGGCCCTGGGGTCCAGGCCTCGCACCTGCCGCACCTGCTCCCCCTGCTTGTGCTCGCTCCCTGTCAAGTAAATACATAACATCTAAAAGGGAAAAAAAAAGGAGTGGAATTGTCTGCACAGACCTTCAGGGCTCTGTGTAATATGGGAGGGCTTCTGAAGTTTGGCCGAGCGGTGATAGGGATGGAATCCGTGTGAGCGCTGAGAGCGCACCACACAGCGCTATCAACCCCGGAGCACTCAGGCATGTCAAACCAGGAGAGCACGGACAGACACACGCGGGGACACACACTTCAGGGGTCAGCCTTGAAGAGTAAAGTTAAATGAGGAATCTCACACAGAACTGATGGCCCTACAAATTGTTTCAGCCTTTGGTATACTCTTTTATGTTTAATTAAAAAAAAATAGAAAACCCAAGTAGTCATACTTTAGACCTCATATAATTTTTACTCTGGAATGCAATTTTATGGAAAAAAATCAGTAAAAGACATTTATGTGGATTATTCTCTCTGTATATTACGTAGCTAGGATTTAGAGATAATTTTTTTTTAGAGATAATTTTTTACCGATAAGGAAATTATGCATCCACGTACAAGAGGCCACCGAAACAATGTTTATCAAAAGTTTATTTGAAAAGAAAGATTTATGTAGTACCGTAAATTGAAATAAAGTTTATTCAGAACTTAGATTTCTTAAACTTCACACGTAGTAAGTTGGTACCAACATAGATCTTACTACCTCAGCTCTAAAGTACATTAAAACATACATTATTAATACATTAAACAGTATATTGATGCCAACTTAGCCTTAGTGCTACAGTCTGAGCTGGGGATAGCGAGCAAAACCGGCATCTGCTTATTTTCTAGGTGGGGGGGGGGGGCGTTAAGATCTGTTTTGCAAAGAAAGAGTAAAATGTCATAGGGTCAAATACATATGCTAAAAACAATTGTTTGGAAGGTGGAAATTTGGTGTTTATTTATATGATAAGAATGGCTTATCTGATATCTCCTGACATTTGTATCTACATGTATTGTGAGCAGGTGAAAATGCTCCTGCTGTTTTATTTTGTTTTGTTTATTTATTTTTATTTTTATTATTATTATTTTTTTTTTTGCTCCTGCTGTTTTAGAGCCATAGGATTGTAGCCACATTTCATACTCTCCCTATCTGGCCTCCTGGTCTTTATATGATCATGTCAGGGTTGTTTTATTTTTTTTTCTTTCTGTCTTATATGCCCTGAAAGAGTTTATATTATATTCTTTATTTAAAATACACCTAATTTAAAAAATAAATTAAAAAAATAAAATACACCCAATTTTATGAAATTTAAGATTTCAGGGTGTTAAACTGCATCCTTATATTTCACAACCTGCTACCATTGGAAGTGTCCACCTGAGACCTACTGCATTTGAGCTGCCGATTAATAGACTTCATGGTAATTTTGTTTATTTTTCCAGAGAAATTGTACCTCACGTTCAGATGCATTTTTTTCTTTTCTTTTTTTTAATTATTTTTTTTATTTTTTATTTCTTTATTTTTTTGGTTTTGTTTCTTTTCTGCTAGTTTTTTTTATCTTCACTTCTTCTTCCAGGATACAACCAATCAATAACCATCTCTGTTAGGTTCTAGGTGAAAAGCAGCTTTTGGGAGAAGACAGTGTATATTTCGTCCGAATTGTACTCCCTTGCTTACCTTGCAGAGTGACTGGTCCTCGTGATTGATAAGGGGTTTCTGAATGAATAAGTTAATTATTTGTAATAAATAAAGTCATTTCAATCATTACTTCCAGAATAGTATTTTCTATATCATAGAAAAGAAACCATATTATATCATTAGTATAAATGGCATGATCGCTTTGGTGTTTTAATTTTTTTTATATTTAAAAGCCTATTTTATTTTATTTTATTTTATTTTATTTTATTTTATTTTATTTTATTTTATTTTATTTTTTGTAAATTTATTTTTTATTGGTGTTCAATTTGCCAACATATAGGATAACACCCAGTGCTCATCCCATCAAGTGCCCCCCTCAGTGCCTGTCACGCAGTCACCCCCACCCTGGTGTTTTAATTTTTAAAATACATTCTCTACCTGCCGTTATTAATGGCATATCATGAGCAGGTAAGTAAAGTATGAGGTCAGTAAGAACCTGATATTACTGTGTCCTTATGTAAGTGTACAAAACAATACCTAGTAATAATATTTCATAATTCCGTTTCATTGGGAGTAGAAATGCCGGAACAGAGATCCCAGTAATTTCACTGTAAAAATGACTTTATGATAAAGATCGATCTCTCTGCTGTGTCTTATTGCTGTGTAGATTTATGGAGAGTGTTACGGTCTGACGATTGATAGAGCCCCGAAGTTCATGCGTTGAAATCCCCCAAAGTGGCGTTTTGAGCTGGGCCTTTGTAAGGTAATGAGGTTTAGATGAGGTCATCAGGGGGAGGCCGTGTCTTTATAAAAAGAGGAAAAATAAGAGCCTCCTCTCTCTGCCATGTGAGGACACGGCCAGAGTTGTGCCCTGGAGGCCCGGAGCAAGGCCCTCAGCAGCCCCTCACACCCTGGTCGTGCAGTCACGGCGTCCCTACGCAGGCCACGCTGAGCAACACAGAGGCTGATACCAAGAAGCCGGGGGCCGCAGCAGCCAGAACCCAAAAATGTGGAGGCGACCCAGGCAGTGGGCTGTGGGTGGAAGCTGGCAGCGTCTTGGGGTGCGTGCCACAAGGGCGCAGATGGCCATGAGGGCTGCTCCAGCCCACTCAGGCAACGGCTCGGAGGGAGAGGCGGGCGGCTTCTGGAGGACACAGAAACGATGGAGAATGGAGCGTGGTGGCGGGCTGGCTGGCATGGTCACTCGGAGGAGGCCCCAGGTGAGACACGGATTGCGGGCAGCGTGGTGCTTGTGTTCCAGCGGTTCGTGGACGGCAGAACCGGCAGCGAAGGACGTTGGATACTCAGTGGAGAACATCTCGAAGCAGCGTGTCGGAAGAGTGGCTCGGTTCCTTCCTACTGATTCTAGTAAAATGTGAGAAGAAAAAAATGAATTTAAGGAAAAGGAATCGTTAGACCAAAGACACATGGTACTTCAAGATCTGGCGAAGCGTCAGCCTGGCATGTGGCAGGGAACACCAAGCACATGGCCGGTGGCCCTTTGCCAGCTTCCCCGGGGGAGGCCGCGGACGCAGGCGGCAAGGCTTCGGCACGGAGACCAGGAGGCCTGCAGCCTGGTGGCTGTGCTGGGAGCGCACATTGTTCGCCAGGACGAGGGACAAACGGCCCCCGAGGCAAACCCCGAGCTCCGGGCTCGCGTGGGCTCCAGTGGGCTCCAGTGGGCGGACCAGCGGCTCCCCAGCCCCGGGGCCCGGCACCTCCCGGGGACGCACACGGCTGCCGTCGGGGTCACAGACCTCTGCTGACAGTGACCCCAAGCTGTGCCATATCCCTTAGCCATCAGCTAAGGGGGGCCCTCCTCTTTCTCCTGAAATTTGCAGATAAATATAGTGAACGATACACGTATGAAGGAGGGAGACAAGAAGATGGATGAACTTTGCGGAAAATTTCTTTGTTCTTGCCCGCTGTGCCGCTGGAGTCTCGAGTACCCCAGTGTGTTCTTACCCAGAGTCTCTTGGGGCATTTCAGAATATTCTTTATAAATATTAAAAGAAAAAAAAATTAAAAAGGCTTCGCAATTAAAATGCATGTGCATGAAAGAGGTGGGCCCAAATGTCTTTACTGACGCTTTGGCACGTTGTTATTCTTTTTAGGACATAAAGTGTGACTGAACCGGACGCCTGCGCGGCTGGTCATCATGAACCGGGCTTTCAGCAGGAAGAAAGGTAAGTGCGCCCGTTTAAGGACCCGAGGGTGAAGTCCGCGCCGCTGAAAATCAGGCGGAGCCGGGGAATCAGCCTTTCCTCTTGGGAAACCTCGTGGCTCAGGGATGAAGTCCGGATAGAGCAACACACGCAAGCACACCTGCTGCTTGACCTTTGGTTGTCACCCTAACGGGACGGCAGCCGTTTGATGCGCGTGTTTCAGGATACGTTGATGATGCTACATTTCCTGGATCATTTTACTCTATGGCGTGAAATGGCTAAATAAATAAATAAATAAATAAATAAGTAAGTGATGGGAAAGGCATCCAAGTAGGCCCGCATACGAATAGAAGACACCGCTGGTTAAATGTCTTTTTTTTTTATTATTTATTTATTTATTTATTTATTTATTTATTTATTTATTTATTTATTTTTTTAAGGAGCAATGAGACGTGGCATTCAGCAGGTATTTCGGGGTACACTCAGCACAGATGGAGGCCTCTGGTAGATTTACGTGCTTCAGTGCGTGTGTGTTTGGGAGTGGTTACTTGGTGAGGGAGCCAGGGCTTGTCCTGTGTGATGTGCCATCAGCGAAGGGGGTGAGCAAAGCTCTTCGGGTTCATAGCGAGCAGCAGCAGGGACCACGGGGCAGAGGCCAGGCTGCATCCCACACCGTGATCATGCTGGAGGCTGACAGGCGTGGGTCTGAGACCTGCACGTCCGTTCTCGTTCATACACCCCTGATATTTGGGGGACGCCCCTCCGTGATGGGCAGGGAGGACGTGGGTCCACGCGTGATGATCAGAGGCCTCCGTTGCCTCCTCATGTCCGCATAACGGACAGTCCAGAGCCACAAGGTCGTCTGCTGTGTTGGTTCCACGAAGCCCGACGCTCTGTGTGGACCCTGAGGACTCAGCAGACAGGCTGGGGGGTGGGGGGCGGCTTTGGGCCTTGGGGCCTCCCCACTGTGCACCTGCCGAGCTGCCGTCACGGGGCTGACTTCAGGAAAGGTCCAGTCGGGGTAACTACAGGGGCATCCGCGTAAGCGCGACACGATCCCCACAAAGCCGAGCAGACACGCAGCAGGATTCCCCGAAGCTCAGACGTTCTTGTTACGGAGTGAGACACCCACACGTGCTCGGCTGTGGGGCCCGACGGGTGGCCCTAATGTGGACTATCAGGCTCCTGGCAGCTCCTGGAAACTAGCACTCTATTATTTTAGGTTTTTTTTTTTTTCTGAATAAGGAGAATGCAAAAATGACATTTATTGCCATCTATAGCTTGGTTCAGATTTAAAACACCTACTGAACGTAGACATAATGTTTCTTTGAAAAATCTCCTTTACTAGTAGGAAAAGAATCCAGAAGTGATTCTCTGATACGTGGAAGTATTTCTTTTTTTTTTTTTTTACGTGGAAGTTTTTTAACAAAGTGATAAAAATCTTACATCAACAACTCATCACTTTAATCATATTATTTTTATGTTTTTTAAGGATGTTATTGATTTATTTGAGAGAGGAGCAGAGGGAGAGGGAGAGGGACAGGCCGACCCCGCACTGAGCGCGGAGCCCGACGCAGGGCTCAGTCTGGTGACCGTGAGGTCAGGACCTGGGCCGAAACAAGAGTTGGTCGCTCAGCTGGCTGAGCCACCCAGACACTCCACTGTCTTATTTTTTATTTTTTAACACTCATTTTAATTTTATTTATTCATTCATGAGAGACCCACAGGGAGAGGCAGAGACACAGGCAGAGGGAGAAGCAGGCTCCATGCAGGGAGCCCAATGCGGGACTCGATCCCGGGACCCAGGGTCACGCCCTGGGCCGAAGGCAGATGCTCAAGCCTTGAGCCCCCAGGTGCCCCTAAGAAACACGTCTAGACTGTCTCTTTCCATTTGCTTACAATTCCTTTCCCCATGGTTTTAAAGTTAAAACTCCCAATTTCTAATTTTCCTTTAGTTGAAGAGGATGTTGGAGTTTTTCACGTAGAAATCCCAAGTAACCAGCAATTGTACATTTGTTTCATTAGATGACGGCGGGAGTGCGGCCATGGGGAAGGTTGGGGTGATTTAGAGAATCAGGAAACAGAAGCACTTGTTCTGCTTTGCCTCCTTCTCTTTAAAAAAATTTCTTGTGATTTCTTTTCTTCCCCCCAAATCTAATGATTAAATATCCTCAGGGGGAAATTATTGATCAATATTTTATTCTAATTTCAAGGTAGAACTTGAAACTTATCTTAAACTCAAACATATATATTTATATATATATATATATGTGTGTGTGTGTGTGTGTGTGTGTGTGTGTATTTTTTTTCCCCCTTTCATCAACCCTTCCAATTAGTGTTTTGTCTGGTAGTCTTTGATTGAATTGGCTGGTGACCCCACTGATTTTCTTTGCAAATGCTTTAATGCTACAAATTCTAAAAAAATAAGACTGCACCTATTAGAATTGCTTTATTTGAACTATTTTGAAGACATCTGTAAAAGTTAGCCTGACCTCATAATCACAGTTACATTTTAATGAACGTATTTGTTCTGTAGCTCCTTTTCTTATGTTAGCTTTGTCTTTGAATTTTGAAAATCCTATCTTCTATTCGTTACGTCAAAACTGAATAGTTTTTTTTTTATTTTTTTATTTCATTTATATGTGGAATTTTTTTTATAAATTTATTTTTTATTGGTGTTCAATTTGCCAACATACAGAATAACACCCAGTGCTCATCCCGTCAAGTGCCCACCTCAGTGCCCGTCACCCCGTCACCCCCACCCCCCACCCTCCTCCCCTTCCACCACCCCTAGCTCATTTCCCAGAGTTAGGAGTTTCTCATGGTCTGTCTCCCTCTCTGATATTTCCCACTTATTTTTTCTCCTTTCCCCTTTATTCCCTTTCACTATTTTTTATATTCCCCAAATGAATGAGACCATATAATGTTTGTCCTTCTCCGATTGACTTATTTCACTCAGCATCATACCCTCCAGTTAGAAACAACAAATACCCATTTGCTTCGACGTGGATGGAACTGGAGGATAAAACTTAATAGTTTAGTAGAAAAGCAGAAAATATTGAATGTGAGTAAATGTGATTAAATAATTCAACTTATTACACTTCCTTTTTTTTAACCTATCAGTTGACACGCTGATGAGTAGACATAACCAGAGTGAGTAGCACGTGCAATTCGGTATTTCAATATTATTTCCCTTTTTTATAACCCATTCATATGCATCTGTTCACCCAACAGTATCTCGTTTTGAACTTTATGTACTCAAAGTAGATGCTTTAAGCTCTGGCAATACAGTAATGATGACGTGACTGCGTCGTTCTTGATGAGCTCTTCATCTAAGTGCATTTTGAGCACTTGGATGTGTTGACCCAGCCGTCAGAATGGCTTAACGCTTGCCCAGTATTTTGAAATGTTGGCATTCCTCTTCACATGACTGTTTGCTCTTGAGTTAGTGATGGCAGTTTAATTTCAAGGAAAAGGACGTATTCCAGAGTATCCGTGCTCCATTATCTGATTGCGTTTGTGGGCACAGGTAGCGACCAGGGACTGTTGTCCATACTCTGTCCTCAAGGTCGGGCACAGCTATAGGACCAAGATAGTTTAATTCTGTCAATTCTTTTCTTCTGCCGAAGTATACATTAGGATGCCAGTAGGGAGGAGTTGTGGAAATCCCTCAGGTCTCGTAAGCGAACTGCCGTCCTCGAGGTGGGTGGTGAAGCTGTCCTGGCTCCATGATGTGGATGTAGGTATTTTGTCATTGTAGCAACTGCGGCTTATCCACTGCTCGCTTAGGACTGTGATTACCTTAATCTGTCATCGGTGCCCCCTGGATACACCTGCCATCTTTCTGGGTCACTGCGGTATGAGACTCTAACAGACGAAGTATCATCAGCTTTCAACTCAGAGTATCTTACAGGAGAAAGGAATTGTCCCTCTGCCCCAGGGTTGGGATGGACCGTCATATTCAGAGGTAGACGTTACTGTTGTGCCAAGATTGGGAATCCAAGAAACCACCGAGGAGCCGACACCGATGCAAGCGCACGAGGGTTTATTTACAGGCTCGAGCTTGGGTCCAAGTGCACCCAACACAGTGGAGCAGGGACTTGGACCCCGAGACTAAGAGGCATAGCAACTTTATAGGGGCCAGTGGCCAATGGGATACGCAGAAAGTTGCACAGCCATGCTGGTCCGGACACTCGCAGGTGGCCAAATTGAGTTACATTTTACCCTAAAGTATCCATTTGAACTGGCCTGTCACTGAGCCGATTTCAGATTAGGGTGTGCCCTGGCGACTAGGATGGGGCAGCGCCCTAAGCAGGTTGGCACAAGGCGGGTGCAGCACAAAATGGAGTCAGTCCTGCTCTGCTTGGCCAGGGGTAGGGGATTTTTGTTAAATTTCCTGGGTCCCACAGTTAGATCCTTCCAAGAAGTGTTGTGTATCTTGGAAGAGGAGACATGAGAAGAAATGAGTTACAGGGGTTAAAAAAAAAGAAATTGGATTTTTTTTTCTTTTTAGGTTTCTTAGAGGCAGATCTTTGTCTTTATTGTTTTGATGTTTTTATTGTTCTGGTGTATAGCATTGCAATTTGTTTCTTTCAATATGGAAGGGCAAGACTATACCGTAAATCTAAGTACAAATTATTCTTGAATTAATCATATCACTTGTCAGTGGCAGTCATAAGAAGAAAATTGTAATTAAAATAAAAATCCTTACAGGAAATAAAAATTTCGCACATCAACGTCAATGGCAATATGTCAGTATTGCTTTTTGCAGTTTAGAATGTATTGCTTCTCAGAACACTGGCCCCAAGTACAACTAGCACTTATCCACTCGAGCAGCCAGAAATAGCCCTGAAATGCACCATAAGCTTGGGATGTTTATTGATCCCTCATTTTTGTCTTGAAAATTCTTATGAATATTGCATTGTACCCCATAAAGATATTTAATATAAAAATAGTGCATTATTTTCCAAATGGTGTAAAATAATTGACATTCCAGAAATAGAGGCCCTTTTCTCTGTCTTACATTCTTCCAGTTTGGGAACATGTTAATGATATCAAACCAGTTCCTGTTAACATCATTTTCAAATGTTCTGAATTGAATGTTGAAAATACTTTGTTAGTAATCTGTTTCCTTTCAGTACGTATTTATTTACTACTTTTCATGGTAAAATGTGTCTTTGATTCTATTCTGATGGTTATATTGATTCTAAACTTTTAAATTGCATGAGGAATAAAATATTCACAAAACTCTGCTGAAGGAGACAACAGTTTCTGAAGACTGTGAAATTTTACTACAAATAGAATTTCCAAAAAATGGTCAAGTTTGATTAGTTTAATGTTTTTTGCTTTTTCTCCACTTATACATTCCACAAAATATTTTGGAAGATGTGTAGAATGTATAAATAAAATTCAAATATGAATGAAAAATGTTTTTTCTAATGATATGCAATATAAATTACTTTCAGTATCTTCTATTATTTTAGTTACTTTTATTTTTAATATTCTCTTATGCTATCTAAGGAATATTTTATAGATTTAGGATTTATATATTGATCAGGGAATTAAAAAAACTGTAAATCATGAGAGTATAAAAGGAAAGAAGAAATGTGTTACATAATTACATAATTGATATAATTGTAGTCCACTGGGGTTTTTTTATATTCTTTAAAACCTTAGTATCATTTTATTATGTGAATACTTTTTAAAGGAAAAGCTAGAGACTTTTATGCCAAGAAAGACTCTTAGAAGCACTTTCCAGCTATGCTGTTCTGCTATCTGAATAGTTAATCTTTCTCCATTTAGCAAAAGAATAGTGATTTAGAAATGCTCCCACCCATATCAGACTCCTTATGTTAATGAATGAGTATGACACCCCGAGAACGTGTAATTTAATTTAACCTTGTGTATTCTTCATTGCAGACAAAACATGGATGCATACGCCTGAAGCTTTATCAAAACATTACATTCCCTATAATGCAAAGGTAAAATGGTTTATACGATATTTAATTTATTTTGTTATAGTATTATTATTAAATTTGTGGTTGATCTAAGAGATTCCTTATGCAGTCCTATTGATGGCATTTCCTCGTAAATGATCCCTATAAAAATGTTTGCATAAGTAATTTTGTAATCTATAGTGTGGGAAGTGGTTTTCCTCTCCAAATAAGTCTTTTCTTCCTCCATCACTTCAAATAAGCAGTTATTTTATTTAGTTATAAAGAGTATTCTTTATAATTTCTGTCTGTCGTGCATGTATTTTCTTCAAATGATTTTGGCTATCTTTGAAATTATTTGCAGTATCATGGCCTGTAGGAAAGAAAACAATCAACAAATTAACTTCCTTTAAAAGCATTTTAATGTTGCATTACATAGACAACTGTTAAAACTAACCTGATCATGAGAGAAATAAGCTGCAATTGTAATTAATGCAATTTTCATTCAAAAAGAGAGACAAAACTTAAACTATTAAGAAAACATAGAAAAAAGCACAGTTTTTGACTCTTTGGTTCAGTTTTATTCATTTTCATAAAGAAATAGAAACAATCTGTGCTCCATATCCTTAAAGATTTGATTCATTGTTGACATTGGAAAAGTGGATGAATGAACGAATGCACTTCACAAACAAGTTTTTAAAGAAAAGTGTTATTGTATAATGAGGGAGCACAAAACCTGAAATAGATTTTGAGTCTAAACTTGGAAGACACAGAAGAGAAAGTTGTGTTGGGGAACAAGCGAGTGGGTCAGATTTAACTGGCCTTCTGTTTAACTGAGCTTTGGACAAAGCGTGGGGGAAAACAAAACGATAAAATTATTTTTATGAGAGAACTTAATTAGCAAACTCTATACTGGGATATAATGAGATGAGGTGCAAGGAATGATGTCCGGAAAAAGGGGAAAAAAAAAAAACATAATTTGAACAGAAAGTCAGTGCTGTTTAATAAAGAACCTCTTGAGGGCTGTTCTGAGTCTGAATCAGTAGAAAGAAGCATTTAAAAGACCACCTAGTGGTTCATCCAGCGCTGTGGCTCAGCCATGAACTTTGTAGAGTATCGCAAGTCCCATTTTTCTTGCTGGCTCCGTTAGCAAAGAAATACTCTAAAATATTTCCAGTATAAAGCTCATATACTCGAAATCACGGCAATGCTTAGAACTCTCCCATAATGTTAACATAAGGTTTGATTGCCATGATTTAGCATGAAAAATTTGGTTAGCTGAATGAGAAAAATTGAGTTAATATTATCAATATCTTCCACAGATATTCTTCCTATTAGCTATTGAGAAACTTTATGAAAACTATTTAGAAAAAAATTTCATCTTGAAGACTGTTATTTTAAAGGGCATGTTCAGTTTTTGATAATATTGGTCGTACTAGAATCATATCTTTTAAGGGAAACCACCACATATTATTTATTTTTACATATGATTGAAGTGTCTTATTTTGAAAAACTCGTTTGTAAAGGATTGGGAGATTCTGAGTAGAACTGTCCTTAACTCTGTGGGTTAATGTGAACAATGGGGATCTGCTTGTCTACATAGAAAAGTTGCCTGGAAGAAAAAAAAAAAGAAAAGAAAAGTTGCCTGGGCTAGTCCACAGTGCAGACAACTATAAGACATCCCACGTGAAGTAGAGTGCACAAAACCTCTTCCCAGACAGGGGTCAGTAAATTATGGAAGAGCAGGTTGGTTTTGTCCATTCTGATATGGCCTCCCGACTGGTAACACATGTCCTGTATGCTAAGTGGCATTGAAACTATCTGAGGAACATTATTTTTTTCTGAATCCCTTCTTTTTGTGTGGGATGTTATAAACTCATTATTAGTAGTTATTTTTGAAAATTTCATAGTTTTTTTGAAAATTTTGTTTGTCTCTTTAGAGTACATGACACTTGAAGACCAAATCCATGTCCACAGGATGTGCCTCAGTACAGCCACCAAAGATATTGAGTCTTGGGGCACCTGGCTGGCTCCCCATACAGCATGTGATTGATCTCAGGGTCATGAGTTCAAGCCCCATGTTAGGTATAACATTTATTTTAAAAAACACAATAAAAATATTAACAGAACAAAAGGGTAAAAAAAAATAAACAAACACGGAAGGTTAATAAATATACAGAAAAGATCCTCCACTTATGATCACATAAGTGCTTAAAAAAATACAGACTCTATATATTTGACAAATTAATGCATAATAACATTTCCAAAATAATTACAAAGTACTTACATTTCAGTGGGCCCTCATATGTGCCGGGTACATGGTCTCATTTATTATTTGCCGTGATCCAGTATGGTGATTATTAATCTTTACATGAGAGAAAACATTATACTTTAAGGGAGAGAAAACTAAGGCTGAAAATTTAAGTAGTCCATCTATTGTCACAGAATTTGCGAGACGGAGCCAGAGTAATAAACTGAAGTCTACATGATTTCAAAGATCTGCTGTTTTTTATGTACATAGTAACACTCAGTTATTCCTTCATCTATTACATTGCTGAGATGTAGAAGGCGCCATTATGGAAATGTCAGAATATTGGGGAAGCCTCAGTGCCCTATGACACGTCTTATATTCTCACGGGCCTTATTGTCTTAAGGAAATACACAAAAATAACCAATGTAGGGGCACCTGGGGGCTCAGCTCGGATCATGACCTTGGGGGGCTGGGAAGGAGCCCCATGTCAGGCCCCCTGCCCAGCACAGAGTCTGCTTCTCCCTCTTCCCCTGCCCCTACCCCTGCTCATTCTCCCCCCCTCTCTCTGTCTCTCTCAAATAAATAAATGAAATATTTAGGAAAAATAACCAACATAAAAGTCAGGTCATGTTCTGTGTCATTCAAATGAAAGTTATGGAGATTCAGAGAATGGAGTGACTCCTGATTTATGGAAAATGGGACCGAGGTCGAATTTCCTAGGGTCAAACAAGGGGTGAGTGACTGTGAGTAGGATCCCTAAGGTCGAGGTGTGGACTGGGTATGACAAGAGGCAGGCTGGGGCATAAAGCACTCGTAATGCTACAGTATTTCATGAGCAAAGGGGCCGCATGATAGCAGAGCCGCCAGGGATGTGAGGCGTCCACACACACGGATCCTCCGTCTTTCGAGGAGCAGGTCGCAGCTGTGGCTGGTGCAGCCAGACCGGGGAGCATGGCACGGGCCATCAGGGAGGGTGGGCGGGGGCCTGGCAGGGACTAGCCACACGTGGCACTTCTTCCTCAGGGCCGCCGCAGTCCTCTTCCCAAGGCCCTTACCCAATGGCATCAGGCCCACTCATACCATCCTGGCTATCCTCTTACACACACACTCAGCTGGTGATAGACATCAGTCATACCCATAAATCGGCTTTATGGCAGCGCCTGGCTTAGTATCTGGTCGAGTTACCGGGTGGCATAAGTTGCCACACCGACACGAAGTGCGGGCCATTGCGGTGCTAGTGATGTGCGAGGCTAACAGGACAAATTGGGAAGGCGTTGCCTGGCAGGAGAAGCAGTTTGAGGGGTCAGTTAGTAATCCCAATTAAGTGGGATGATGAAGATAAATCCGACATGTCTGAGAGTTGATCTGGATCGAGAGAGAGGAGATGATATCCAGCTTCTTAGGAAGTTACTTTAATGGGCCAAGACTGTGGTCCTAAGTTTTTATAGGATAAGAGATAAACCTATCATCGTAGGAAATAAAGATGTGCTAACTCTTGCAGGGAAGGAACTGATGCAACAGAGGAATATTTTATATGTGGGGGAAAAAGAAATATATCTACGTCCATCCTGGCTAAAAGGAGGACTGAGCATCCCATTAAGACTTCCATCACTTTGTTCACTTTTTGGGACCACTGGTAACAGATTCATCTGATAAATTTACCAGATCAGTTCAAGAATCATAATTCTCACTAGGGAAATATGTAATAACATTTACACTTAGGTGTTCTTAGTTTTAGAGTAATAGTTATCCGCTTTCGTGTTAAGATTTCTTTAATTTTTAAAGAACATATGTTAGTTCCACATTCTTTCATTTTATATAAAATTCCATTTAAAAAATTCACATTTAGTATAGTATGTTTATTTCAGAGCGTCTTATGGGAATGTAAAATAAGTTGTTTTCAAGAGTATTATTCTGTGTAGGGTTCATTAGTTTTGGGTTTTTCTAGATGAACAGCGACCGCTTTAGTACTGATTCACCAGGCATTCTGCATGTTATCCTGTGTGGCCTGTACTGAGGTTTCCAAACCGCAGGTTAGGCTCCATGAGAAAAACTGGGTCATGAAATTAATGCAGCCGGTCACGGGAGGCGAGCATTTGAAAATGAAATAGAACAGAAGAGAAAAAAGGAAAGATGTTTCTAGAAGGCATATGGTAAACACCCGTTTGTTCCATAAAATTGTAGTTCCTGGTCATGAGTATGAGAGCCGCTGCCTTTAAACGGCAACCTGCCTTGAAACAGGACCAAAGACTTCGCCCAATTTAACCAGTTTAAATCGTAAAATCATAATGGGGGGAGGGGCTGCTTAAAAGAGGCATCAAACCTTTAATAGAAGAGGTGATGCACGTGTAAGTGTAGCCACGCGTCGTCATTGAATACGGCATCCTAAAATCCTTTCTGCAGTTTGCACGTAAGCATGATGGGCGCACAAGAGAAGGCTGGGGCGGAGTATGAATACAGGTTCACCCGTGCTCTCATTCATTGTCCCAGGCGCTGGGCCGTGTCCGTGGAGGACCCCGACCCAGGAGAATAGGACGCGGTTAGTGAACCCCACAGGTCAAACCCTGCCCTCCTGGCCTTGACCTGTGAGAAGCAAGGTAGCATCACCCTTTCTGAGAAATACCTGAGAAGAACATTGTATTTTGATCTGTTAACACACGCATGACAGTCTGGTTTTTATTTGTATGTGGCCGAGGTGCAGCGTCCATCTGGCTTGTGTGTCATGTGGCTACGTGGGTCTCAAGCCAGGAGCAAGTGTGAGCCCAGAGGAGTTGCCCGCACGGACGCGGGTGCGGGG